AAGAGTGATAGTGCCACTAGGGAGCAGTGCTTTTCTCTTTTTCTTAGTGTTACTCAGGGAGGAGTTTCATACCAAGTAGCAATAGTTTGGCCCTTTTCATGGTCAGTCACAGCGTAGGTCTCATTACCACGTTCTCAGATTTGATTACACAAAGATTCTCATTCGTATTACTTTGGTCTTGAACATGTCGTTTGGCATGTATCCAGATGATCTGGCATCTCTAAGAAGTACAGCCTTATGATACCTGGAGATGGAAGTTGTTGCTCACTTTGACCCGCAGTGGGTGTACATGTTTAGAAAGACCTTGGTACATTAACAGAGAGGTGACGTTGGCCTGAAATACTCAACGTCAAACCATTGTTGGGCTGACCAGCTGTTTTATTGAATAATTTTAGAGAGAAACACCATACATCTGGAAGGGGTTCATTTTCTCTTAAATACAGTGGATGATGTTTTTCTCAACACCATCAGTGAATGTTGCTGTGTCCATAAGTGTATGCTATTTTATGTCTTAGCATTTAGAGAACATTAACACCACGCAGAACAGAATAGATATGGTCAGTTCCATGTGTGTGGATGTGTCCAGATGGTAGATTGTTGAGTATGTGTCCCCTCTCTGTGGGGGCTGTAAGGTCCTTCGGTATTCCTGTGTTCACCTACCTGGTCTAGCTTGGCTTACTACAGATGTCCAGTTACATGGAGCAGTCATCCTAGATGAATTTGATTGGTTTGCAGCAAATACTGTCTATTCTGAAACAATGTAAACAAGATCTCTACTTGGGGAGGAAAAAAACCACATTAAAATACCTCTGATTATATTTAGCAGAACATTTTTATATATTCATTTATTTATAAGCCTTTAGTAGGTAAAAAAGATGCTCTTTTTTTAAAGACCAGGTTGTGCTTCTATGTTTATGGCAGAGAAAAAGCACCTTCCTACAGGGTCTTGTCACACTGCAGTTCTTTTTCTTCCAGTTCTCCGTCTCATCAGGATCCAGAGCATGTTCATGCACCTTGTGTGTTTTTCCAAACTGCTAGTGCCAGGTTTCGAACGCTGGTTGGCTATGTGGGATCTGGTGTTCTCTGCGCAGTGCTTAGCCTCTGTGCCGTGAAGCCTGTTCAGAAGATATCTTTAGATAATAGGCTTCAAGAGCAGCAGATAAGTCAGATAAGTTTTTCTGCTGTTAAAAGGCTTTCTTGCAATCTAAGAGTGGCCGTTAATTCCTTGTTATGAGAAAAAATTACAATATTGGCATATTTCAACTATTTTTTTCCTGCCTAGGTAATTTTTCGTTCTCCTGGATATTTCAGTAAATATAATGCTAGTATCTAATAGAGAAAATGTATTTTAACCAAAGAAGCTACCTGAGTTATGTATAATTTAAATATTTTGAAGTTTAAAATATACATATGAAAGGATACAATGTGTATAAAATGCCCTCACAGTGTAAAGAAAAAATAGGAATGTTTATGTACTTGTTACCTAACTTTAGAAACATATTTCTAATACCTTTGGAAACTCCTATGTACCTGTCTCCAAATGCACTCCAGAGGGAACCACTGCCTTGAATTTTGTGTTACTTCTTTGCCTTTTAAAATTTTTTATAGTTTTGCACCATTTACACATGTTCTTAAACAGCATAAAGTTTAGACTTACCTGTTTTTGAACCTTCTGTAAGCGGCCTTTTCTGAAACTTGCTTCTTTTGTTCAATAGTATGTTTTTGAAGTCCTTTGATGACAGCCCGTGTAGCTGCAGTTCCTTTTCACTGCTGTCGTATTCCATTGTGCAAATATTCCATAGATTTTTATCCTATTACTTTACACTATAACCAGTATTTGCAATTGCTAATCTAGTTGGTATGAAATGAGAGCTCACAGTCTTTCTAGTTTGCATTTCCCTAAATTCTAATGAGGTTGAGCAGTTTTTACATTGGCCATTCGTGTTTCTTCTCCTGTAAAAGGCCAGTGCATATCTCCCCTCCCTTTATTCTACTAGGTTACTTGTGGTTTTATATTCATGGGAGTTCTTCATATATATATATATGATATATATATATATTTTTTTT